TTTCAATATTTTTGAATTTTCTTAGACTTGTTTATATGTATACTATTTCTGGTCACTGAACAACAGGTTGCTCAGGATTGACCCAGACATGGGTCAGGTGTGCAGAAAATGAAAATGAAAATGGGTGACAAGTGGCACCTCCAAAAGAATTGAGCCACCTAAAACCGTGAATGGGTAGTTGAACAGATAATATTTTTTTTTATCAATTAAAAATTTCTGCAAAAACCAATTGTCTCTTGAAAGCAAAATAATAATATATGGTTGAGTTTATATTTTCTGTAAATGTACAATGTATAGCAATAATGCCAAAGGTGGGAAGACAACTTATAGCACATGTGATGTGATATAATATTCATTGAAAGTAGAATATGATAAGTTAAAGATGCACATTGTAAACTGTGGAGCAACCACTAAGAAAATCAAATGAGATATAGCTAATAAAGCAACAGTTGAAATAAAAACAGAATTTTAAAAATTCACATAAAAGCAGAAAAGACAAAAATAGATAGATGGGACTAACAGAAACAAATAGCAAGAGGATGAATTTAAGCACAACCTTATCAATAATCATATTAGATGTAAATTATCTTCATGCTCTAATTGGGCAGTCATATTGGATTTTTAAAAAGCAAGACCCAAATGAATGCTGTCTAAAGGAAATCCCACTTTAAATATAGAGACACAGACAGAGTAAAGGAAAAGAATTCAAAAAGATATACCATGAAAGGGATACACCATGCCCAGATTAGGCACATGAAACCTTCAGGGGCTGTATTAATACCAGACAGAGCAGGCTTCAGAATGATACCATCTTTACACCCTGGATAAGGAAGGACATTTCATAATGACAAATAGGTTAATTCATCAATCTATACTAATAAAAGCCTAGTTGGTTCTCACGCCCTCACGTGGCACCCTCACGTCATCACATCATAAGATGGCTGCCACATGATGGTCTCCCTCACATTGTCACAAGATGACTACCACAAGATGGCTGGCAGGGGAGGGCAGTTGTGGGTGACCAGGTCTGCAGCAAAGGGCAGTTGGGGGTGACCAGGCCAGCAGGAGAGGGCAGTTGGGGGCCATGAGGCTGGCAGGGGAGGGCAGTTGTGGGTGATCGGGCTGGCAGGGTAGGGCAGTTGAGTGCAAACAAGCTGGCAGGGGAGGGAAGTTAGGGGTGACCAGGCCAGCAGGGGAGGGCAGTTGGGGGTGATTGAGCCAACAGGGGAGGGCAGTTGGGGTTGAGATCAGGCCAGGAAGGAAGGGCAGTTGGGGGTGATCAGGCCTGCAGGGGAAGGCAGTTGGGGGCAATTGAGCCAACAGGGGAGGGTAGTTGGGGGTGATCAGGCCGGCAGGGGAGGGCAGTTGGAAGTCATCAGGTTAGCAGGGGAGAGCAGTTAGGCATCAATCAGGCCAGCAGGGGAGCAGTTAGGGGGCGATCAGGATGGCAGGCATAAGTGATTAGGGGCAATCAAGCAGGCAGGCAGATGAGTGGTTAGGAGCCAGCATTCCCAGATTGTGAGAGGGTTGTCTGACTGGCGGTTTAGGCCTGATTCCTGCGGGCAGTCGGACATCCACCAAAGGGTCCCAGATTGGAGAAGGTGCAGGCAAGGCTGAGGGACACCCCTTCCCCCACCATGCACAGGCCTCTAGTAAGACAATAATACTGAATTTTCATGCATCTCATAAGTACCTGAGCTTCAACCCCCCTCCCCCATCCCCCTGCAAAACAAACAAACAAATAAACAAACCAAGAGGGCTTCAAAATTCAAGAAGTACATCCTGACAAAAATAAATGGAGAAATAGTCAAATGCACATTTACAGTTAGATTTCAACATTCCTTTCTCAATACTGGAAATATTTTCCTTTTTTCCTAAATTGAGCACAGACAAGGGAAGAGAAACTGGCTTTTCTGGTTCAGATATCTCCCCAGGCAATTTTGACTTGTGGTTTCATTGCCTCCTTTCCCACAGTCTTATCTGAAGAGGTTCCTGAAGGACAAGAGGAACTCTAAGACTTAGTTTTGGTTCCTGATCCTGGACAGTATGAGGCTTGGTGTGTGCCATCTACTCTTTCTAGGCCCTGGTTTTCTCCTTTGTCAGAAATAGACAGCAGTCTCTCCTTTGTTTAAAGATCTCTTGAAACTACTGTGAGTGGACCAAGGAGGAGGCTCCTCACAGCCTTGCAGAGATATGACTGGTTGTGTTGACAGTGTTCTGTGAGGCTGTTTCTAAGCTCATCTGGGACGATATCTGCCCCTGACCAGGCTGCTGCTCTCCGAACTTGTATGACGAGGCTAAATTATACCAGGCTGATCATGCTCACAGAGTTAGCATGCCATCATTTATGGGCAAGGGCTGGCCAAGGTTGAGCAATAACTGAAGCTGTCCCTTCTTCATCAAGGTCATCTGTCCTCTAAGTGGAGAAGGGGTGAATTAGTGTTGGGACAAGGGGTTGAATGTGGGGTGGGGAACATTAGCTGCTCTTTTCAACAAAGGAGATTTGCTTCAGCAATGGGTAGCAAAAACAGGGGGAAATGACCATTTACCCCTTACATTCCATCCTTCAGTGATAGTGTGGTTCGTGTCTTCCAAGCCCCAAAACATCCATATTCAGAGGTAGAATTTGACCTTGGAGTACCTTTAATAAGACCTTTTTCCAGATTCCGATGAGGGGCTTGTGATGCTGCTGATAGGGCAGTGCAGAAGATATTTCTGCTACCTTTCCAGCTCAATTCCATTGTTGTCTGAGAACACAGTCCATGCGATTTTAATTCTCTTGAATGTTGGGAGACTTTTTGTGTGCCTCAGGATATGGCCTATCTTGGTATATGTTCCATGTACACCACAAAAAATATGTCTTTGGTAAATATCAACTTCTACAAATATCAATAGATCCACTGATTGAGGGTGTTATGGAATTCTTTGTTATGTGGCCCCACCCCATAACAAAGAAACAGAATTTCCAGAGGATGAGGCCCAGAAATAAGGATTTTAAAAAGATTCCCAGGTGATTCTAATGTGAAGCCAAGGTTGAGAATCACTGTCCTAGATCCTGCCTGGTTCTGTCAATTGTTGAGGGGATAGTGGAGTTTCTAACTATAATTGCGGATTTGTCTGTTTCTCCTCTCAGTTGTCAGTTTCTGCTTCACATAATTCACATCTCTGTTGTTTGGGAAAACACCTTTAGGATTGCTCTCTTCTTGGTGGAGTGACCTATTTATCATTATATAATGTTCCTATCTGTTTCTGGTAATTTTCTTTGTTCTGATATCTAATTTATTTCCTATCAATACAGCATTCCTTCTTTCTTTTGCATGAGTAATATTTGCACCATTTATCTTTTCCATCCTTTAATTTTCAGCCTGTTTTTACCATAATATTCAAATGGAGTTTTCTGTAAGCAGCACACAGTTGGGTATGTGTTTTAATCTACTCTGCCAATCTCTGTCTTTTAATTAATGTGTAGATAACAAACACACTCTCTTCCCTAGTGGCCTGGATTGCAGCCATAGTGGGGTGTGCCTGTCCCCTGGAATCCCTGAGTGCTCCTTCCTACATTCTCAACCAGCTCAATCACTGTTCCTTGGGGATTCTCTGGGCCCCATTCTTCCCCAAACAAAGACCAATAATCAAGTGTTTCATTGCTCACACTAGACAGTTTGCTATTCTTTTTTTCTCATTTATTTTCATCAGTGACCATCTCCTTCCTCTGCAAAGTGACAATGGTAAAGTTTTCCTGTTTGTTCCTTGCAAAAGGATATTGACAAGTGGACAAGACCAAACTCAAGATTCCCTATAAGTGCTTCTGCTGGGATCTGTGCACAACCCTTGAACCACAATGCCCTTGGCAGCAGAGGAAACTTCAAGTCTCAGCATTTGGCACTTGTTCTCATTCTTATTCCCATGGTTTCCAGGTTGTGAGCCTCTCGCTCCAATATGCACTCAACTGTTGCAGATTATTTTCCATTTTTCACATGGCTCTTTAGTGACATAAAGACATCAGGAACCTGGGAATCTCTGTCTGTGAAGGCAGCAGGTGAAGGATACTGTGGGGAAGTGATCTGAAATTACCCAGCAGTATTGGAGGTGGGCTTGAGTTTGTGTGTGAAGGTAGAGATTCTGGGAAAAGAAAGTGTGGTTGTCAGATGAGCCAAGGTCTCAGTGGCTCCTAGAGACTTAGGTCTCTGGTTAAAGGTTTCTTGGACTTGTAGAAGCCTCTACATTCAAGCTGCTAAAAGATCTGAATGGAGACACAGTGGGAGACGTCCCTTCCTGGGACAGATAGGCAGTTCAGTGTCTTGTCTTCATATGGACACTCACCCCAATGTTTATGTGTGGAGGAGAAGGGCATGTGCGTGTGTGTCTCTGCACTTGGGTGTGTGGTTTTTGCAGAAGGTTTAGGAATGACAGAGCAGTGTCTTTGTTCAATGGACATTTAAGACGGATGAACAAACATCTACAAATATTGATTTCTGTTAACACAATTTGAATGTCCAGGACATTTGTTCATGCAATTCAGATTCAATGGAAATAAATGGGTCTGTACTAAGGCTTTGTGTTGGCTCTGGCCCTTGGTCCCCTGGGGAGGCCAGGGATGATTCCATGACAGGGTACAGCAGCCTGAGATCCTTGGAGAACAGGCAAGAGCAACAACACTTGGGCTCCAGTAAGAAGAGCTCCGGGAGGGCCAGGTCCCATGGGCAGGTTTGGGGGGATATGGGAGTGGGCAGGATTTTTGTCTTTGGATTGGTAGGTTACTGCCAGGTGAGGGACACAAGGAAAGCCTGCGGCCCTGGAGGCACAGACACCAGCGAAGAATGTGATTGACAGGTGTTGGTTCCAAGCCCTACTTACATATATTTTGTCACTCAGGATGGATCTCTACTATGGTCTCTGGACTCCAGATGGCAACACAGGACCAGGAAGCCCAGCATCACAGTTGTGTGCAATTTTCCTGCCGCCATCCACATGTGCAGTCACCACAGGAGCCCGCCCCCTCATTGCCCCCACACGCAGCCCACCAGCTTCGCTGCCACCTGTGGGCTCCAGAAATCCAGCGACTGTGCCTGGTGGTACACGTTGTTGGAGTAGGGGGCACCCGAGTGGTCCAGCACCAGTCACTCCACCAGCACCAGCAGCTCCTGCACCTGGGCCTCGAGGTCGCTGCCCGCCACCCAGTTGTCCAAGGTGCACCCCCGCACTCGGACACCAGAGCCCACAGTGCAAGGCTGTCAGTGTGGTTCAGGAAATCCTGTGGAGAGTCCCGATCTAGGTCCTCTTTACGGGTGAACAGTATGATGGTACAGCACCACCACTTGTCCCTGATCATGGCCTGCTGGTCCTGTGTAGTGAAGCAGTGCAGCTGAGTCACCAGGAACAGTGTGTGGGGCCCAGGCATGGACAGCAAGTATCAGCAGGCCTGCTCCTGGCTTCCTGGGTCTGCCCAGGGGACTCGGGAGCTAAAAAGGTCCGGGGTGTCCATGACTTCTACGTGCCACCTGTCCCTCCTGCGACTCCCCACCTCGCAGTTTCTGGTCACCGAAGTGGCTATGAGTCTGGAGATGAAGCACCTGTGGCCCAGGATGCTGTTCCTGGTAGCGCTCTTCCCAGCCCCTGTCTTCCCCACCAGGATGAGCCTCAGCCCGGGCTCCTGCAGGGCCTGTGTGGTGTCTTTGGAACCTGAAAGACAAGTCATCTGTGAGCTTCCAAACCTTAAATGCAATGTATCCTGGTTATCTGGACCTGGAAGCCCTTGGAACAACAGTATCTTAACTCTGCTTTTCCAACCAAAGCCTTACTGATCTCAGGAGGATCTTCACCATCTATCTCTGTCACTTTGGCTTCACCATGTGCACCTGTAGATGCTCAATACTTGGAGGGCATTTCTCTAGGGGAGTCCCCTTCGTCATTCCAGACACAACCTCACCTTCATTATCCCTGGTGGTCCACACCCTGCAGAGCTGTCCCTATTTGAGGCTTCAGTGGCCTCTGCCATATTTCTCCCAGATTCAGCCCAGAGAAGATGGTTAGGAGGGTTAGTAGCCTGGGGGTAAATAGTTGTCTGGAGTCCCAGACACTCTGGCTTTGACTCACAGTGCTGCCATCGGCCAGCTGTGCCACCTTGGAAGTTGCTTAATGTAAAAGTTAAACCTTTGTACAAAAATGGGACTAAGTGTATTGAGTTGTTTCTTCTGGGGTGTTGAGAGGATTAGATGAGGTCACCTCCTTCCTTCTCTTCCTCTCTCTTCTCCAACCTCTTCTCCCTCTTAAACCTACTTCCTGCTAGTAAGACACACATTTAACCCTCCATCCTAGTTCTCTAACATTCTACCTGGTGAGTCACACTTCATCCAGTGTGTGATTTGATACCCTCCTTCATCCTCTTCCATGCAGATCACAGTAGGTTTATTATCCTCACTTTATACCTGGGGAATGGAAGCATAAGCTAGTCAAGTTCATATCTCCCAGCTGGGCAGGGGTGCAGGCCCAGCTAAAATGCACATTCAGGGCTCTTACTGTTTCACCTTAAACACATTTGGGGTCATCTGTTTAGTCCTGAATTTGCCCATTCCCCTCACAGAGCTCACACCAGGGGGCAGGTATGCAGTGCACGTATTCTTATCATAGGCAATTTCTTCATCTCTTCTGTCCTCCCATGCTTACCCGAAAGAGTCCCAAACACAATTTCATTCATTCATTCATTCATTCATTCATTCATTCATTCATTAAATAGGTTTAACTGCCTATAATGTATTGGGCCAAATCCAAAGAGCTAGTGACACCACACAGACACAGTCCTGCTTCCCACTTCCCCAGAATGTCAGAATAGAGGGAAGAACATTGGAAGGACCTGGGCTAGATTTAGAATGATACTCTGAGAGGGTTTGGAGACTTTTTATTTTTAGGGATTCAAA